GATCGCTAAACACTACACAAGTCAGAGGGGCTATGAGAGAGCAGTCAAATTCTACAAAGAAGCTCTTGTGTATTGTGAGACTGATCGCAAGGTCAGTGCAGCTGAATCAAAAACCTTCTGTGTACTCACTGCAGCTGTGGTCAACAAGCACTGGCATCTTTTAGAGTCGGGCGCTCGTGTTTGTGAAATTTGGTGATCTTAGTTGTTTATGGTTTGTTTTAAGGCAAAGGTCTGATTTATCTGGAGGACATTATTCTACTAGGAATGTTGTCACATGAATCCCAAGGCATGCACTCCTTTTTCCTAGGTGATGCTGGAGTTGGCACGGTTATACCTTACTTTAGACGAGGCTGATGCGTGCCAGGAGCAGTGCAGCATCATTTTGAAGAATGACCAGTTTAATGAAGATGCAACTCTGGTTTGTTTCTTCGGTCTTTAACCACACTTTTAACCATAAGCTTTTTTGGAGGTAGTTCATACAAGTTTTTTCTTGCATATTTTTGTCCTTAGATGATGGCTGACATTATGTTTAGGAAGCAGGACTACGAACAGGCAGTTTTCCACTTTCAACAACTCCTGGAGCGTAAACCAGGTGCAACAGAGTCACATTTCAAAAAAACTGCAGTGGATGTAAATGTGAATTGATGATTTGACCTTCTATAAATGGAAAGCATAACAACTTACATCTGTTGCTCTCAGACAACTACCCAACACTGTCACGTCTCATTGACTTGTTGAGGAGGGCCGGGAAATTGGAAGAAGTTCCCAGATTTCTTGATATGGCAGAAAAACATTCATCCAGGACTAAGTTTGACCCCGGGTTCAACTACTGCAAAGGACTTTATCTTTGGTAAGTTTGGGGGAGTGTTTCCTTGGAATATGGCGACATCTGTTTTAAGATTAGTGACTAAACGTGTTCTTCTTCCTGCTCAGGTACACAGGAGAAGCTAATGATGCTCTGCGGCACTTCAACAAAGCACGGAAAGACAACGATTGGGGTCAAAATGCCGTGTATAACATGATTGAAATCTACCTAAACCCTGACAATGACACCATGGGAGGAGAAGTGTTTGAGAATTTAGATGGTGAAATTGGGTGAGTGGCAGTAGAAGCATGCTAAGACTCAAGACTCAAAGCTAGGGCAGGCAGTTTTCTAGAAAAAGCATACCATAATTTGAAAATACAGCCCTCCTCCTGCAGCTCTTCTCTCTCTGTCTGAAGCCCGCCAGATTAGCAGTGGCACATACACACACTTTATACAGTCACCTGCGCGAGTACCAGTCATTCATTTCCATCTTCCAGAACATAATTGTTGTCCTGTTGCACATACATGGTGGCAGGTCTTTGAGAATTACTGTTGTTTTTCCTTTGCAAACGTGGGTCTGTAAAGCCCCTTGGGGTGACATACTGTGAAGGTACCAGTCCCCAAGATGGAGCCTATTCAGTCCTGGTGCATACGCCAAAAAAAGTTTCTAGCTTTCAGGCTTACTTCCTCAGTATGTGGCCCGCTGAATATGGGCAGAAGTGTTTCTCCCAGTGGCTCTGCCCGTGAGTTCCCGCTGGGCACATAGACTTTACATTGCGTTGACGTCACAGATTTTTAAATCGCTTTTTTCAGCTCAAGAAATATAACCACCACGGATTAAAAGTTCTTAATAGAAAGAGTCATATTGGTCTAGTTTGCGGTTCAAGATGTCCTGTCAGCAGTTTAAGATGTCTCATTTATACTCATTTATACTGGGGAAAATACTTCAGAAATTTTCAGGGAATTTTTTGTTGCTATACTGCGAGTGGCCACTGGGAAAAATTGGAAGCAAGGATGAGCAGCGTTCCTGGAGGCCTGCTATGAACTTGAGTAAGCCACAACTGTGAGCCTTTGACTCTCAGAAGGCTAAATTATAAGAATCATTTTCTCTCCATCTCTAAAACAAGTGGCAATATTGGCATTTTATTTTGTTTATTGTCAGACCTTCATTTAGACTTTCTTTTTAAAAATCTGTCTTTTTGGGTTGCTTTGCAGTATAGCCAGTTGTTACCAATGCTTCAATAGCAATTTTGTGTGCAGAATTTTCTGTAATGGAGTCAGGTTTCACCATCAAAAGGAACGTGCACGCACATCTGCATTTGTAGAACAGCCAATAAGAATGCCCTGTTCATGGAACGGCCTGTGATTGGTCAAAGTCTCCCGTCACAAGCTTGTTTTTCTAGAGCCTGAAAACAGAGCCAAAAGGAGGTGCAGAAATCTAGCGTTCTCTTAGTCCACTTGAATTACAATATGCTCTAAGGTTACAAAAAATTTTTTTCCCAATGAGGGTTTAAAAAAACTGCCTACCCTACCTTAATACAGCTTATATTATTTTGTTGGACTTCATAGCCTGGTAAGATCATCCTGATGACATGAGCTCATTCTGTTTCGCTCTTGAAATCAGTCTGGACTCGGTGTTGACCCTAACACTTCCAGTGGATGGGAATACTTGCCTTGACAGACAAACTCCTTCGGCCAATTAGCGTAACAAAACACTGGGGAACATCATCATCACCAGCGGATAAATCAAGATTTTGCCAAATCCAGTCAAAAGAATGGCAAAACCTTTCCTCCAAGAAACTCAGCATGTGCATACTCATGCTTAATTGTTGTTACTGACTCTATTTCTGCAGTAACTTCACCTATTTCTGTGTTCACTTTACTCATGTTAGAGTTAGCGCTTGTTGCATTGGGAGCCACCGTTACTGTTCCGCAAGCTGTGGCCTGCATTTTACATCATCAACTATAATGAGGTCCGTGATTGGCTGCTTACGTTGTGAACTCAGGTGGATCCCTGATTGGCCCCGATTGGATTTTAATTTCTGAATACAAGGAAGGTTGGCACCAATTCCAGACTGATACACGGAGCAAAACAGAATGTTGAGCTCACGTCATCGGGATGGTCTTACCAAGCTACAGACTTCCCTCTAATGCTGACTTTGTCTCTCACCAGGAACTCCACAGAGAAGCAGGAGTCGGAGCAGCTTGCCGTGAGAACAGCCGAGAAGCTGCTGAAGGAGTTAAAGCCTCAGACACCGGGAGGACACATACAGCTCCGCATCCTGGAGAACTACTGCATTCTGGCCACAAAACAGAAGGCCAATATAGAGAAAGCCCTCAGTGTTTTCACAGAGATCGCAAACAATGAGGTAAGTAAACCCCAGATGGTGTAGCAGAGTTACATCACTCTCTCTTGTGTAAATATACTCACACCAGGAGCTGTGCATTTATTCAGGCTCCCCCTTTTAATGTCAGTCATTCCATCTGGTTGTAAACTGAACACTACACTGTATCAGGCCGAATTTTAATGGAGCATGGACAGTATATGGCATCGCTTGTGCAGTTGTAGTTAAGTTATGTGAATTGTATTTGTTAAAGAGACTCTTTATGTACTTAAGTAAAGCTGAGTGTAAACAAATGGAAGTGGGATAGTGGGGGAGGTGCTGTCAGATCCATCCTGTCTAACCAGGATCCTTTGGTTAACTTCAGAAGGACCATGTGCCAGCACTGTTGGCCATGGCGACAGCTTATATGATGCTGAAACAGACTCCAAGAGCCAGGAACCAGCTCAAACGCATAGCTAAGATGAACTGGAGCATTGTTGACGCCGATGAGTTTGAGAAGAGCTGGCTGCTCTTGGCAGACATTTACATCCATTCGGGGAAGTATGACATGGCCGGGGACCTCTTGAAGAGATGCCACAATCATAACAAGGTCAGCCTGGAAGCACTGTCACTGCTCGAATGTTACACACAGTCCAAAACCTTTTCCCGGTATTTTAGTGATTTGCGTTACACTGTTACATAGAGGCTGTCTTCTGTGTACATTTCTTAGTGATAATAATTGCACTTTTTTTCCACAGTCATGCTATAAAGCTTATGAATATCTGGGCTACATTATGGAAAAAGAGCAAGCATTCCGTGATGCAGCACTCAACTATGAACTGGCTTGGAAATATGGCAATCGGACGAACCCAACTATTGGTATGTCAACCAAAATCACATGTCCAGCTCTATTTATAAGGACTAAAAGGATTAAATCAATTAAATTCCTAACATGTCATGTCTGTTTTTATTTCAGGGTACAAGCTTGCTTTCAACTACTTAAAAGCAAAGAGGCATGTTGACGCCATAGATGTGTGTCATAAGGTGAGACACCTGTGGTTGTTTACGGTTTGAGAGATTAGATCAGTATTTATACCGTGAATCATCTTTGCTTCCGTCCACAGGTTCTGGCTGCTCATCCAAATTACCCGAGAATGAGAAAGGACATCCTGGACAAAGCTCGTGCTGCTCTCAGATCTTAGTGTTTGAACTTTGTGTGACAGAGAGAGAGATAAGACGCCAATGTTTCTGTAATAAAATAAATTGCTTTGATTGAAGCTGCTTTTATTGTTTGGCTTTGGGTGACAAGAATGTGCAGTTATGTGTATTATTTCTGTGGGGAAAATCCCCTTGAACACACTGCTATGTAAATTTGAGTATATGAATAGCTGGTTGCTGGCAATCCTGAGGGGAAACAGTGCAGAGGGGTTCAGGCACATACCCAGCTGAAAGCATTTTTCTTTCTTTATTTTGGAACATGAAAACAAGTCAGTCTTTAACATTTACATTTAAGCTTTATTCATCAAAAATCAAAGTGTGGTCACCCTATTTTAAGATTTGATACATGATATATTCATATTGCCTTTGAAATGATGTCAAAAATATGAAATATTGTCATGTTTTATCTTGTGATGAATATTCATGGGATGTTGTTAATGTGGATGTGTTACTGTTAAGCTTTTATATGATAAATATTTAATAAAACAATTTAGATATATGACTGTTGCTTTTTGACCTGTTTTTTTTAATACTAATTATTTAAGTGTTAACAAACATGTGCACCCCTTTCCATCAAACAGTTGCCACATAGACAAACATTTACAATCGTGAGTGGGGAAAAAAGTAGGACACTGAACATTTTAATGGACATAATAAACTGGATGCCTGCCGTGGATAGGAAGTGCTGGGGAACACAGTCACTACAGATGGAGTCACTGTGCGAGTCAAAGGCAGAAAGAAGTCAAACTGGGCACCAGAGCAGGCTCCCTGCGGCTGGAATCCGCGTCCAAGCATCCAGCTCTTTATGAAGACCATCCGCCGTGGGGAACCTGGGAAATTCAAGGATCAGATAAACTAGACTCCGCTGGTGAGTGTCAGCTTTTACAACTTTTTTTTTTTTTTATCAGCAGTAATAGAAGCTCAGATCAGATGTGATTAATAATCTGGGCAGACTCGCCTCCGTGCGAGAAGACGCGTAACTTTTCCAAATGCACGCTTGGACCATGTGCGTTTTTTAGTCTGTGTTAATAAATTTAAGCTGTGTGTGCAAGATGTGGTGTTTCTCAGAGATCCTGATTGGATGCGGTGGGCTGTGTGTGGGGTATAGCGCGTTCCTCCGTTATCTGTAACCCAGCAACTGTCCCAATGAATGACCAGTTGAACAAATCCTCTTAATGGCACCATTATTGCATGTGAGGAACTCCGTGGAGATCACAGTCTGCAATATTCCTGAAGTCAAAGTGGCTGCAGACCACTCGGTCGCATTTATGAAGAGGTTCAGTCCCGAGATATGTTTGATCCAGTTGTGATTTTGTCTATAGGCTATATTTTTGCAAAAGTTAAAAGAGGAAATCAGACTGCAGAGCAAACAGTGCCATAGGCAAACTTGTTAAACGGGATCGTCTCATGGTTTCTCATGTACCAGGTATGGACTGTGACACCCAGAAGTTCGCTCTGCGCAAGCGCGCCACCACGTCCCCTCCCTCTACCTGAGAGGAGCTCACCTGGATCCAGCGAGACGGAAGTTTTGTGGAGGAACAGCTCAGAAAATCTTTTTGTCTCCGCGAAAAGTTTCTTTGGAGTTCAAGCAGCACACACTGGATCTCCAGTCGAAGCAGGATGCCATTGGGTGACATTTTAAAGAACAATTTTAAGGACTTTTCTTACCTGAGTCTGCTCAGCGACCTGTGGTAAGTGGTCTTTTTCTTCTCAGGGAATCCAGAGCAGTGTTTGCTGATTTCACAAGACGATTTTAAATATCATTTGTGATGTGTAGATTGCAGAAGACTACTTCTAGCTTTAATAGGAACTGCTACACACTTGATATGTATTATTTCAGAGACAGAAATGGGGGAAATACTTTAAGTGGGCTTCTAAGATGTTAATGGCAAGTAATGTGTCACTGCTTTGTATTTACAATACTGGCTAATCATTATAAAACATTTGAATATATTTATTGATTACAGCTGAATTTCAGTCCAAAGCCAGCTTGCTCTCCATTTAAGAAGAATGACAGCTCTCCGCAGAGTGCTCCGAAGGCGATTGCACCCAGTCAAACTGGTGATAGTGGCCCTTGTTTTTGTCACATTTGTGTTCTTCATACAATGGGAAGTTGGGAGCCAAAGCCAACAGGAGGACCCCTGGCTGAAAGAGATGGCAGTGAAGGGGGATGCCATGCTGGGCATGGTGATGGGAGCTGTCAATAACTTCAGGGACGTGATTCCAAAGATGCAGATCAGGGCCCCTGTACGTCAGCTGGACAAGGCGGGCAGCGCGTCCTGTCTGCCGGGTCACTACACTGCCGCTGAGCTCAGGCCAGCTCTGGAGAGGCCACCTCAGAACCCTATTGCTCCTGGAGCAGCTGGTAAACCTTTTAACACAGACTCACTGAGCCCTGAGGAGCAGAAGGAGAAGGATAGGGGTGAAGAGAAACACTGCTTCAACCTGTATGCCAGTGACCGCATCTCCCTGAGCAGAGACCTGGGTGCAGACACAAGACCGCCAGAGTATGTCAGTTTGTACAATCTTTACACTTTTGATAAAGCTGTGCACAATCCCTCACCTTTATCTCATTTTACCTTATTAAATGTGCAAGAAACCTCAAGAACATCATTGAGTTAGTGAGCATAGCAGACTAAATAATGGTAATTTCCTTTTCTACATGGTTTAGATTTAGAAACAACATATAATTGCACCACCTAGTGGGAGTAAATGCAGCTTTGGTGCTGTACAAGAAGTATTCTTCCTTTTCTCATACTGTTCCATGGACTGATGTATTGGCCCAGACTGTAAGTTAAAGTCACACACTGAAAACCGCCCTAACAGATCAGTGTAACGTAGATGGGGTCTAACCCACACACATTCATCATATTTGCTTTTTGCAACTGGAGGAAAACTCAGGCAGAAACCACAGAAATAATTGTTCTGACTGGGACTTTGTTTCAGCACTCCTGCCCAGTTACTGTGGCCAGTTCTGAGAGAAGCTCAGTTGTGTTTGGCAAATTACAGCACATCCAAGTGTGTCTAGGTCCAAGTACGTGTCAGTAGATAGTCGGTACATGACACAGACATAAAGTCTATCCGTGTACTGGCCATCTTATTAGGGCAAATTACAAAGGTTCTCCCATTCTGATATGGCAGGTATTTCAAAGGCTGCCACACATGCAGTGTCATGGCTGAAATGGACACCCCACTGGGGAGAATCTGCAGATGTAATAACTAGACTATTGTGCCACTCAGGAACTGTACAGGACAGTCAGATCTTTGTGCTCTTTCTCCTTCTTGCTGCAGATGTATTGAGCAAACCTTCAAGCGGTGCCCCTCCTTGCCGACCACCAGCGTGATAATTGTGTTTCACAATGAGGCTTGGAGCACCCTGCTAAGGACGGTATACAGTGTCCTCCACACCTCCCCTGCCATTCTCCTCAAGGAGATCATCCTGGTGGACGACGCCAGCGTGGACGGTAAAATTCAATAGGGGCCCTTCAGGACCGCCCTGCTCTCTTTTGGGTTCGATTTCATGCAGCATGTTGGGTGGGCAGCTCTTTGGTGTGCCGTGAAACGTGTAGAGAGGAGCTCCCTGCTCCTTCTGTGGACCATGAACTGGGTTACAACAGGAAGCCAGGGGCTGCTCGTGAATACTTTCCTAAGAGGACTTAACAGTGGTTGTGCTAAAAAAGTGAGTCAGCATTAATTCTTGTAAACAGGTCTGATGTAGGAAGGAAACAAATGCTGGAGAGGAGAAAGGGTTCAGGAAATGCACTCCATCTGAGTATCTAAGCTCAGTTATTTGTCGTGAGCAGGCCACAGATGGAGGCCTGCTGTACAGCAGCTCTCCTGACAGCCAGCCATGTTGAAAACAAAAGGAGGACAGCTTTGTACTTTTTCATTTGTTTGAGTCTTACCTTCCAAGATGGGGACTGTGAATATTATGTCTTTATCACTTAAAGTGACAGTTCACCCCAACATCAAAATACATATTTTCCCTCTTACCTGTAGCGCTATTTATTTTTCTTGATTATTTTGGGGTGAGTAGCCGAGTGTTGGAGATATTGACCACAGAGATGTCTGACTTCTCTTGAATATATTTGAGCTAGATGGCACTCGGCCTGTGGTGCTCCAAGCGCCAAAAATTACATTGGAAAACCTCAACAGCAATGTCTCTTTCAGAAATTAAGACCAGGTTCCTCCAGACAATCCACAGACCTTGTTAGCACTAGAGAGCGACAGAAGGGAGGAAAAATCTGCATCTCTGATTTTGGGGTGAACTGTTAGTTTAAGCAATAAGGCGTTATGATGCTGTTTATATAAGACTGTGCACAAGATTCAAATTTTTCTTTTTGCTACTCTCAGCATACTTTACTCTGTGTCTAATGGACATCCCATATTTTCAGATGCGTTGAAGGACAGGCTGGATGAGTATTTAAAGCAGCTGAACATTGTTCGAGTTGTCCGCCAGCGGGAAAGGAAAGGACTCATCACTGCTCGCCTGCTGGGTGCCTCCGTCGCCACCGGTGACACTCTCACCTTTCTGGATGCCCACTGTTAGTCAACACTGCCGACATTACTCACACATTAAAACCAGTTGCATGCCAGACACACCCTGACACACCCCTGGCTCAACCACCTAATGTTTGCTCGTCTTGAAAGATGTTGTGATGTAATGTCTGATTTGCGTGTGTTAACAGGTGAATGCTTTAATGGATGGCTGGAGCCCCTGCTGGCCAGGATAGCAGAGAATAACACTGTAGTTGTGAGCCCTGATATAACTACCATTGATCTCAATACTTTTGAGTTCATGAAACCGTCCCCGTATGGCCAGAACCACAACCGGGGGAACTTTGACTGGAGCCTTTCCTTCGGCTGGGAGAGTCTACCGGATTATGAGAAACAGAGGAGGAAGGATGAAACATACCCTATCAAGTAAGCAAAACTTGTGCAAGAATATACAGCTTTATATAAACTCTTGTTTCTTGTTAGAAATCATTAAAATGTTAAATTAAATTTTGCTGTAGGACTCCCACATTTGCTGGTGGGCTCTTCTCCATCTCAAAAGAATACTTCTACCGTGTTGGAAGCTATGATGAAGAAATGGAAATCTGGGGTGGGGAGAATATTGAAATGTCCTTTAGGGTAAGACGTCGCTGAGCTGTCATTCTGGATGTGCATGTTGATTTTTATTTGTACAAATCATTACAGTATCCGGCTTTACAGGCGTGTCTACCTGTATGTCGTCAAACATCTCTTTGTTCCGTCACCCATAAAACTGCAGGTGTGGCAGTGTGGCGGACAGCTGGAGATCATCCCTTGCTCCATTGTTGGTCATGTTTTCCGCACCAAGAGCCCCCACACCTTTCCCAAGGGAACACAAGTGATTGCTCGTAACCAGGTTCGACTGGCGGAGGTCTGGATGGACGACTACAAGGAGATCTTTTACCGCCGTAACCAGCAGGCTGCGCAGATGGCAAAAGATGTACGTAGTGCTTCTGACACTAGTGCGCCGTTAAAATCCTGCACACCTTTCCCGTGATCTTTTCAAATGCAGCAAATACTCTGCAGCATTATCTTTCACTTCTGCTTCTTATGGTCATAAGTGTTTTTTAAGACCACTCATTATACACCCCCTTAAGACACGTTTGAGCAAATCCAACTCCTGTCTGTGAATTACAACCTGCATTAAGCCTGATCATGATGTAACATCCTCTGTGGGGAAAAGCATAGAATTACACATGCTAGCATTCACTCTTGTTATACTCAATGCATAAATTATGTTGAATTGAAACACATTCTTTGAAACGGAGGGAGATAGATTAGCTATTAGGGCCTGAAAGCTGCTAACCGACAGAGAAAAAGGGGGCCTGAAGGAAGTCAGCTCTGGTAAATGACACTGGCTCTCAGCGTTTCCCAACATGTGGTCTCGTAGGTGCCATAAACAGTTCCCTCAGGGCTGTACCTCACAGAGCGGGCCAGCCCTCTCCCGCTGGCTTCAAACAGACACGCCGGCCTCAACGGCTTCAAGGAATCCACTGTAGTAGCTATCAGTGCGCACTAGTGTGAGCAGCATCCTCGTCATTATAGTAAGTGCTCTCATTATTCAAGAGCGTGAGGTGCCTGCAAATCCTTTTAAATGTGCTGCTACGCTTCCGTTTAAAAGGAGCAGTGATCTTATACTTGTCTGTTGTTAATTTGTACAACAAAGGAGTTGTTCGAGCACTGGAACACAGTCATTGACTTTAGAAAAGTCAAGTGATGATGACAGAGTAAAATTTTAAAAAAAGAAATCCAACATTGAATATTATTATTTTCTTTTATTAGTTTTTTGTGATGGTATCACATGTCTTATTTTTTAATCTGGTGATATTTCAAAGTATTCTCTATGGATATCAATGTCAGTCGGTCCAACACAGACTATTGGATAGATTGCAGTGAAATCTGGTACAGGTAGCCATCGTGCCCAACGGGTGAGTCCTAATGACTTTGGTGATCCGTTGACACTTTATTTTCACAGTATGACAGTATGACAGTATACCAGGGTATTTAGAAATCTCAAAGTTTTGATATTCAATGCTGGCAAAAACACAGACGCTCCTGTTGTATTAAACTGATATGGAGATGCTGTATTGAGGCGATGTAGTGCACAGACTGCACCACCAGAGGTCAGTCTCTACTGATGGAACAGGCAGCTGAACTGAGAAAGATGGCGACTGCGGATGGTGTGGATAACAGGACTAGTAAAAAGCCGTCTAGCAACAGCAGACACAGCAGGAGAAAACAGTAGTAGAACCAACATATTTTCGTCGGGTGTTCATACAAACCCCATCATATATCATATGCCCTGGTAAAATGTTAGGACGGTGTGAAGTTATTTAAAAAAAATTGATTCTGTACAAGGCCTATCTCAACACTTATCTGATGAATTGCAACAAAATTTATTACATACATGCACATCACCCTCGGGATGAATTCTAATAACCCTCAACTTTGCTTTAGCACTGCCATCCAATCAGAGTTAATAATACTGCATACGTTGGTTTATGATCAAATACCTGCAAAACAAATGTCATTCCCATCAGCCTCAGCTGTACAGTACTTTGAGTTTAGTGCTAATTAGCAGATGTTAGCATGGTAGAGTGCTCAACTAGATGATAAACATGGTAAACTTTAAACCTCCTATCAGCATTCTGATATTGGCATTTAGTGCAGCTGGGATACTCAGCTTGCTTTGCCTGGGGGACACTTTTGCAAAATGGCTGGCAGCCAGGGGCCAGTTAATAAACAAACATTAATAATATTTATCAGATAAACATGAATGAAAAAATTGAAAGGCTTTTAATTCATCTTTTTTTGAAATTCTTTATTTTTAAATTAATTGACTTGTTAACTTATTAACTACAAAATGGCACAACGACTGACACTAGGTCTTTATCAAAGATAAATCAGATACTTTACCGCATTTAATAGCTGCGACCACATTTTGATAAATGCTTTGGTTACTCTATCTCTATTTTGATACTTTTACTCTGACACCTTATTTTTAAGGTGTCAGTACTTTAATTAAAAGTACAAAAAAATGAATCTAGTGTGAATAAGTTTATTTTCACTGTGAATTAGAAAATGTTTGGCGGGCCACCCGGGACCCTATTGTGATCCAGATTTGGCCCGAGGGCCATGAGCTGACTATCATTGTATAGCCCCTTTCCCACTGCACAAAAAACCCACTTACACCTGCTAACGTCTGGCGTTTGTATGTTATGGGAAACGTTACAATCGGCATTCACACCTGGGTCAAATGACCCTGCAGTAGACTTGGGTATTTATGCGCTTATTTTAGCCCCTTAACTGGCAAGATGCCAATGACGCACCACTGCTAAATACCTTCCATCTCTGTCCAAGCAGCACTCTGACATCAACAGAGTTTGAAAGAGAGACAGAATAAGTACTCCATGCTGCTTTCTGCTGTTTACTAACCTGTTTCTGGCCTGTCTGTGACATCTAACATGACACACCAGTTAAAATCAAAAAGGCATGCTCGTCTGCAGCAGAACCGTGTTCACAGCTCTAGTCTGTAGGCAATGGGAACAGAGTGTACAGCCTATTATTAGCGGGTTTTCCTGTGTTTAAACAACCTGTACACATGCACTAATTGAGGAGGAAAAGGGGTAAAATACAGCTTTACAGGGCCAGTAGCTTAGCTGTGGGCTCTTGTTGGTTTAATAGCAACTCACATGACATTATAGTTCTGAAGGCTTTGTTTTTGTGTGTTTGTGTTGTCTTACTTTGAGCTCTCTTTAATTTTTAGTTTCAGTATGGATTGCAACCTTTAGAGAAATATTTGAGAAAACACTGACCTTCTCAACATGTACACAGCACCTCCAGACTTATCTGGGAAGCAGCTTCACAGCATTTGTTAAGTGATCTTATTCTATACCTGACAATTTTTCAGAGATCTCATAATAGTGGTAAAGAGTAAAAAGACTACATCTGAAGTCTAGACGGAGCATCCGTGCTTTGTAGTTCAGCCTTGCAAGCTGAGCCCTGTTAGTATCCAGCATGCCTGCGGTGTGTTAATGATCAATGTAAAGAAACTGCTTTGCTCTCCTGCCTGCCGTTGTTTGAACAGAGGGCCTTTGGAGACACCTCAAAACGCGTGGACCTCCGTGCGCGGCTTCAGTGCAAGAGCTTCTCGTGGTATTTGAAGAACGTTTATCCAGAAGCCTTCATCCCTGATCTCAACCCACTCCACTTTGGCTCAGTAAGATCACACACCCCACCACCAGCTCTCCCCTTTCCAAACCTCAGAGCTCTGTCTAGCCACTGTGGGTTTCCACTTGGGATCTTCAGAGGGTACTGAGCAGTTCCAATTTGACACCACTGAAAGCACTCCAGAGACTAAAGTTGTTTGAACAGCTTGCACTGGATGTTAGTTTTTCATTTTGTTTCCTCTCACTGCTCTCGCCTTCCCTCCTCTTTCTGTGTAGGTGAAAAATGTCGGCAAAGACTCATGTCTGGATGTTGGAGAGAACAATGAGGGTGGGAAACAGCTGATCATGTACCCTTGTCATGGACTAGGAGGAAACCAGGTCAGTCTGAGAATGTACCTTTTATCTCTGAGGAAAAAAAATCTGATTCTCTTTAATTACAGAGGTTGATTGCATTTTTTTTTTTTCTGTTTCCTTTGCTGTAGTATTTTGAGTACTCCACACATCACGAGATTAGACACAACATTCAGAAGGAGCTGTGTTTGCACGGGGCAGAGGGGACTGTGAAGCTGGAGGACTGCCAGTATAAAGGCGGGAACACGTTTGTGGGAGTGGAGCAAAAATGGGAACTGAAAGATGTGAGTTTGGTTCTTTTGGATTTTCTGTTCACTGAGTTTGCAATTTCAGATACTTGGGTTGTCTTTTAGGGAAGTAATTTTGTTTTCTCTTTGTATAGAGCCAGTTTTTCTACATGCCAGGATTGAACTTGTGTCTGAGTGCCCGTCATGAGCATCCCTCTCTGACCCTCTGCAACCCCTTGGACAGATACCAGCTCTGGTCCTTCGTCTGAGAGTGCAAACTACCACTTTACAAAATAGCCACTATGTATGCAACGGCATACTAGAACATGAGTATACTACACTGCGTGCAGTTAACATGCAGTGTTTTTTTAGATTACTGACATTGAGTTTTAATTTATTTTTATACATAGAAGAACTGAACTGCTGCTGCTGCTGCCGGGAAGTTTGGACTTTGGTAGAAACCAGTGTGCCACTGCTGGAGGGAAGCATTGAAACAATGCTCCCAATCAGACTGTGAACTGAGATTCTTGGAACAGTGACGATGCACTGTGCCGACAAGTGCCTCTTCTGTGCTTGTATTCACTACTCCAAGTCATTACAACCAACACATGCAGTGTTAGGTTTATAAAGCGAAAACACTGAGCATTTTCCAGTCAGACACATGGATCAAAAAATAAATGACAGTAGGGGATTAATATTATAAATAAGGGGTTCAAGCTGGACACACAGAAATCCCAAATGTTATGCACCAAAGAGAAGTGAAAACTTGAAACACACAAACACGATGTGCATTGTCCCCCTTTTTAAAAGAACTTTTTTCTACTGATGCAAAACCGTCCAGTGCCTTAGATGTAATTTTATACTGGGTGGGTGGAGTGGTGGAGGGATGGGTGGTGGTGTGGTGGGGTTGTTACAGTTTTCTGTGGATGCAGATAATGGCTTCTGATCAAAGGGCTCCTCAGATCAGGATTAGAATCAATACACTTTAATTCAGTTGTTTCCTGAGATACTTTTTTTTTTTTTAAGATAAAAAAAAAATGTTGCAAAACAAATATTTTATAATTTCTATCTGCTCAGTTTATTAGGTCCACCTAGTTAACGCAAATACAGTTCAATGCGACAACCCTGCAATAAATCCTTGCCTCACTAAGGTTGTATATGTTACATCATACTGAAGTGTTTCTTATGTAAGGTCAAACCCATTTCTATCAGTGAGGCTAGTGTAAATAATAGAGACACCTCTCAGTACAGTGCATTACAACAAAATGATAATAAAGTTGAATTAAAGCCTCTTAAACAGTTTCAAACACAAACTGAACATTATAACCTTCATGTTGGCAGGATTTACTGCAGAGCTGCTGTATTAGACTGCATTAGTTTTAGCAAGGTGTACCTAATAAACTGACTACTGAGTGCAGAGGTATCAAGAATGAAGAATGATTATTTGAATGCCATTGTAAATGAGTGAGCTGGCCCTAAACATGAATTATATACAGTTAGTTTGCCCCCCAGGTGTTCATTTCAAGTGCTCCCAACAAAAGTTCTATTTATTTTTTTATTTATGATTGAAATGCATTTTTATCTGGACTATAGTCAATGCTTTATTCCCAAAATACATGTCAAATGCCACGACTTATTTTTGAGATTAATCATACTTTTGTAAATTTCAGCAATGTTTACCTTTTTTTATTTCAAATTCAACGCTTGGGTGTTCATCAAAGGGACATGTGAAATGAATGCACCGAAGGGATTCTGTTCACCCTCTACATTGAAACTGGAGTCCACTCATGAATGTCTGGTGCAGGCACTAGTGTTAAGATGGAATATTGTAAATAATTTTGAGTTTGAGACCAGGGTGAGGAACAGAGTCTCAGATGGAAATTGCCTAGTGTTGTCTTGGTATTAGGAGGTCTTATTTTTAGGTCAATAAATTCAGTTGGTTAGTACTGAGAGCTGCTTTGTCTCATTTCTCCCTGCAGAGGGCGCCTCGCGCTAAGAAATTACTGAACTGTACAATGTTGGCTAGCAATTTTAGCAATTTTAATTAAATTATTTCAAAACCATGTTCAAAATGAAACAACTGAAAATGAACTTTGCTCTATCTACAGTTGAAAAAAACAAAAACACATTGGGAAAAAAAACAAACGGTACCATTTTGTGCAAAACGTTTGCATTTCACAGAATAAGAAATAGAATTAAATAAATCAGGCACATGAAAGCTTTACAACTCACAACCAGCATGAAACAAAAAAACAATTTTAAGATAGTGAAGCAATTTACTCAATACAGACTTTTAGTAAACCACAATAAATACACATTTCAATATATCATTCATAATAAATACTGGAAAATAAAAACCCAACACAGGATTCTCAAGTGGATGCAGCGTCATTGTATCTAGCCTCCTCACACTGTATGCTTTGGCACGATTACTCTGCACTATAGGCTGTGTTGATGATTGCCTGAAAGCAGTCTGTACACTTCTTTTGTACCACCGAGGTGGCAGGAGAGGTCCCAGCTACTCAGTCGCACAGAACCACCAAAACTCCAGTCCTGACCCTTGTGATTATAAAGAATGGGCAGATATTTGCAAGCCTGGAAGAGGGACAAATATCTGTATTCATGCAGGAGCAGAGAGCTCAAGGTAAACAATGTTTTACAGTATTCACTCAATTATTGCAGTCCCCCAATTGTTGAGCAGTCACGCCAATTTCCCTTTTTGTCAGTGATTTTATAAAGACGTGTTGAAGGTTATTTACAGATTTATTTATTTTTTTGGTAAACTTATTTTTCTCAGTCATTTTCAATGGCTCGTGGGACTCATTGTGTAGCTGTTAATTACCCATATGAATCATGTTTCATAATAAGCTTTGATTGTCAACCTTGAACATTTGCTTCCCCCGTATACAATTATCAAAACTGTGGCACATTTTTCATTAAACAAATGTCGCTTTAAGTACAATATCAAGTGCCGTGACGGTCAATTAAAAGAAATATCCGTCCCCTTTTACAGAGGATCCTCTCTAAAAGGGAATGCCTATTAAAAACCCTCAAACTATTGCACTTAACACTTCAATAGAGCAAATCAGCATCATTACTGGATCCACATAAATAAACATCTCAGTTATTAGACAGAGGAATGTAGCTTATACAGCGTTCAAGAGCAGAAATCCAATAAGCAGTTAATTTGTGAAATACTGACACATTATCTAGGGTCAATAGTTCGTCTGCAGAACTGTGATGGAGACTGGTTACTGATGCTTTTCAAATGGAGCCTATTATGATAAAGATTCTGTCTGTGATGAATCATAGAGCTTGTCATACTTTTGGAGATATGTCAAAGTGCTGCTTCGTTATTATCCCTGTACTGATGAAATGCTTCAAAGAATAAGTCTCCATTTGTTCAACCGTGCTATTCTAAGAGAACAGAGGAGAGTAAAGAAAACAAGTGAGGGGCCATATTTTGACACCGTTCAAGTATTCATCAGTTAAAACCAACTGCATGCCACTGGACCCCCACACGTAAGTGCAAAAGGCTGGGAAATTTAATTTAATTTCTTGACGTTTTATGCTATTGATATTGTATTCCAAAACATACAAATAAGAATTCAGGCTTTTTCATGCTTTTCAAAAACCATAGAAAAGCATATTAATGGCAACAAAAAGAAGAGGAGAAATGTACATTATGTACACAACACATTTTTATATAAAACAATGGCATTTTTTCCCCTAAATGTCACTGAGTTTTCCCAAAACAGCATGCGTATTGTTATCAAAACATTTACAATATATAAGTTTACACATAATTCAGAAACAATAAATAAACTGACATTATTTTTTTGTTGTTTTGCGCACATTTGACACATACAGTAGACATAGAAAAGTTCCATCTACAGTACAATATCTGCTTAAAACTAGAACTTTACATCTGAAATTACAAGATACATTGCACGGCATGACATAAGTGATGTTTTTAAAATGCTCCTTGATCTGTTCCGTCTTGCAGTAAAGCACGCACTGTAGCGGAGAAACCCTCAGGAGCGAATCATTCCTCAAAAACATTGCCACCACGACCCTATGGCTTTATAGTTACAGATGAAAATGTACTACGGTGCTGGAGATTGCTTTGAAATTTAAGGTCAGATAATGCAAAAAAAAAAAGGCCATGATTATGTTCCCTTAAAATACCACTTGGTCAAGTAAAGATGCAATAATGAAAGAACACTTGGAAAGGTGAGGCCCACTAAATGGCTGTGACCTCAGGGCAATGGTCTGGTAAAGGGAGGTTCTTAGTGTTGGTTCCTAGTAAGGTCAGGTCAGAGTGGCCGTTAACGCCGGACTCTTGCTGCGGCTGCTCAGCTGTCATACATGAGCTGCTGTAAGAGCCCTGGGTGTTATTGTTCAGGTATTTTTGAAATGGCGTCTGGCTCTGGTTGTCAGGCTGCTCCACGAACGCTGCTTTGGACAGCACCTTCTTCTCCTGATCAGGTGTGTAGCAGGTCAAGGGGGCGGCAGGAGCACCGTTGGTCAGGGTGAAATGGTGACTGGCTGTGTATTGTTCCTCGGCCTGATTAGAGTAGTCTGTGTACTGCTCTGCAGACATGTTGAATGGCCCTTGGGCCGCGCTGCCATTGGTAGCGCTGACCGGATCTTGGAATGCTAAGGCTTCCCCGTAGGGTTCACTGGGTCGGCTGGTTTGGCCATTAGAGACAGCACTGGAGCTCCCCAGCTGATAGTACTCAGCTGAAGAGGAGTTCATCAAATAAGTGTTTCCATTCATGTGGTTTTCATGTGCCACTGAGCCGTCGCTGTAACACAGCACAGAGGACAAGGGGACCACCTCGCTGTGAGACACAGACGGGGTCGTCATGTCGCTCTGAAAGTTCTCAGACTTCTCCTCATCCTCATCATCCTCCTCCTCGTCCTCAGAGTCACTGTTGGCTAAGCTCTGGGTGCTGGAGTCAGACAGTCCGCTGCAAACACTGCTGCTGTCCTCCTCGTCCTCATCGTCCTCTTCGTTCTCCTCTTCCTCCTCCTCCTCGTCTTCCTCGTCTTCGTCGTCTTCCTCCTCGTCTTCGTCATCCAGCGGCTCCTCCATCTCGTCGGCAGCCTGCAGGTGCATGCCGGCCGCCTGTGGAACGGCGTCTGACAGGGAGTACTCCAACCTGTGCTGGGACTGAACCAGAGGGTTTCCGCCTCCCAGGTCGTTAGTTTCGCTATGGTAACCGTTGGTGGGGGACGCCTGCTGCTGCTCGCGGCTCTTCTCCAGCTCCAGCTTCATTATGGTGTGCAAGAAATGGGTCCGAACACGAATGGGATTAAATTCCACTCTCCCGGTTGAGTTGCTGCAGCCCTCTTTTGTGCAGCCACATGGAAATGACATACGGTCCACCTACGGGAAACACAACATTTACTGTGTTTTTCATTTTGTTTTAAACAGATGACCTGTGTAATGTGATAATGATTGTGCCAAATAATTCATGGGCTTCCTTCAAGTGCACCCTCTCCCTCAATGACTCTTCCCACTCTGCACATCATTTGTTTGATCTGATGCCCTCAGGCAGGAACTATGGGTCACTGGAAGCCCGCACCTCCAGACTAATGAACAGTTTATTTCCCTGGGCTGTGAGAACACTAAACAAACAATAATCATGTCCACTGTCTTGTATTGTTTTTATTTATTTTACCATTTGCTATTATAGCTCTTATATAGCTGTGTGTATGTCATGTTTTATCTGTTTTTAAAAGCACCAATAGTGGCACCTGTAATCTCATATGTAATATATAATGAAAATAAAGCTTTCTATTTTAGTATGTGCTTCTGTTTACAAGGGCGAAGATAAAACTGGAGAAATGCATGTCATGGGATTTACCTGGCACTTGATCCCTGCGATGCTGCAGGCACAGGTCTCTGGGTCGCAGAAGACTCTGCAATCACAGCCGCAGTCCTCTCTGGACATTCGGATCGCCCGCAGTTCATGTTTCTCTTCCACGTCAATCTTCTTTACCCCCGAGGAGCGCAGCAGTGCCCGGCGCTTTTTAGTGGTGAGAGGCTGCAGGAAGAAGTACTCGTCTACCTCTGTGTTATCCAGATCGATGTCATCGTCAGAGATGTCCTCTGCCGTGAGCGTGTTGGCCTCTTCAGACTCCACTGTGCCATTCTTAGTCAGCTGTAAACAAGAGGGAATCACATTCAAATGAAAGTGAAGCAACAAAAACAAAAGACTACACTCACAGATTTCATACTGATATCTGCTGAATAATTCTTAGAAAGTCCTTTGTGCATAAATCTTCCTGAGACACAGATTACAAAGCATTTACCTTGAGTTTGATTGAATTCAGTTTCTCCTCCTTCAGGTGATCTCTGAGCATGTCTCTGTGGATCCTCTCCTGCTCCACAGCAAATTCGCCCAGGGAGTACTGCCTGATCCAGCTGTGCCTGTTGGACATGCCCAGCGTGCTGCCTCCCTGGCTGGGCACGCTGGTGAAGCCCTGCCGCCGGCTGAAGTAGTACACTGTCACATTCTCGAAATGCACTCTCCTCGTCCGCAGGCGCTTCTCTCTCTTCAGTATCGAGTCAGCTGCAAGGGAAGACAGGGACGTCAGGAAAGCGGTCCATTGCGTGTCCTTGTCATCTTGGTTGTAAACTGTTCCTGACAATTTATTAATCCAAAGTGGAGAGAATTAAAGCTCCACACTGAAAATCACTGCGTCAAGAACACTTTGAGCACAGTTGATTTTTTTATCACTTCTTTCATGTCAGAGTAGAACAGTTTCATAGCCATGTAAAGCCTGTTAACATAAGTGACATTTTTATGGCAAAATGTGGGACACACATGCTGAGCGTATTGTCCTTAAATGCCTGAAATATGAGGATTTCTTTCTTGCCAGCTTTACAGCAAGCTTCTACGTATCTTAGCGCAGCTTTGCAGGGAAGGATTTCATCACATCTCTGTGCTTCCGCTTGGCATGCGAGTCTTCAGTGTGTCTTTTTAAGGAGAGCTCTACAAGAGGGGAGAGGCAGGGAGGAGGGCAACGGTGGAGCATAAATAATCCCCTGCCTGGCCCAGAGATGAAGAGCGCTGGTTCACAGAAGCAGTGTTCCCAGCGTTCACCCCATATCAGACAGACAGGACAAATAGAAACCATCTGGTTCCAACAGCTCTCCACCCCACGCAAGAGGGACAATGCATTTCATTACAGATGCAGAGCTGTCAGACTGAGAAGAGTCGAGTTTCATTATCTGCATGCAGACAGCTATCGGCTTGTTTTAGGTGTAAAAACCTGAACAGATGTTAAGGTCTTTATAATCAGCTTTTCTGAGGATGTAAAACCTGCAAGAAAAAAACATCTCGCAGGTATTTTTCACAATCTTGCAAGCTGCAATCAGCAAGGGTTCCTTTGCCCTTTAAAGACTTCTCTGTTCTCAGTCTCTCCAAACAAACACACTACAGATGTTTTTTTCCTCCGCTCCCTAACACAACAGCATGGAGATGTAAAACCACTTAGGATATAATTGTCTCATCTCTCTGCCAAGGCAGTCAATCACTGCCCATGCATGTCACTTCACAGGAGTGAAGCCTTCACAGTGCGCAGCTCCCTTGTTGCTGTCAGCTGACCTTCTCCCCAGCTACCAGCAGCTGCAGCTGACACAGAGGCCACGCTCAGCCTCTAGGGACGCAGCACCCTACTTATGTCTTGCTACAGGGAGGGGGCCCTGTCACCCATCTGCATGTCATTCACACAGACAAAAAAAAAAACAGTGCACCATCAAAACACAAATTTAGCATTGACTTTGCCTTCAATTAAAGTAAAAAGTGTCTTTGTTTACTTGGCAAAAATATTTTTATTTTGGAAAATGAAATACTAAGTAGCCAAATTGTGCACAGGCATCCTTTCCAACTGTGACTCCTTTCTTTTGTTCTTCATGAATTGCATTATTAAGCTTTTGGTGAAGTTCTTGGATGCTTTCAAAATCCCCCCGAAAAAGGATGAATAAACTGAAAGTGTGTTATCCATTTTACTCGCATTCTGTCTCATCTCTTAGACATTAAGATTCATACATGCACTGTGTTACGATGTGTTCGGTGTCCTTTTGAACCTGCCGAGGAGACATGTCTTTTGTGGTCGGTTTATCTTCGATTAAGAGTGCATTCTTTAATACAAAGCCAGTTCAAGCCAGGAATAAGTGTGAAATCTCTCAGCAGCAGACCTCTATTAGCACTGGTGAGCCTCACAGAATTTAGCTGTGACATTATCTGCGCAAACCAAAACAAGCTTTGCAGATCTGCAGCTGTTTTATTGCAAACTGAATATTTTGGGGGCTTGGCATGTTGGTCGGCCAAAACAAGACATTTGAAGTTGTCACATTAGGCTTGAAGAAAAAGTCACCACTGCATTTTATAGACCAAACAGGTATTGGATTAATCACAAGTAATTGGCTGATCAATCCATAATGAAAATAATAAAGACCTAAGCTTTACCCATCATGCATCATGTCTAGTTATCATATATCTACTTGCTGGTCTTTCTGTTTGTGCAAAAATGAAAACATACTCCCCGCATCTTAAAAAAGGGCTATTGCATCCAAAATATGATTTACATAAGCGGGAAATTAAGACAATAATTTACTGTTCTTAGAAAGTGGTACATTTACATGTACGGTAACAGTGTTGCACACACACACAGCTTGAGACTGCATCACCTCATTTATCTGGCTGGGCCTGTACACTGATGCTGTTCCTAATGAGGGAGGCTGTCTGTGCATCCTTTCCCTTTATTACAGCATCAGACTCTTAGCATCACTCAGTCTCCTCTCCTCTCCTCTCCTCTCCTCTCTTCTCCTCTCCTCTCCACATGGAGATTTCTTCTCTGACCTGCATCCTGCATCGATTGCGAGCCACAAAATCAGGTTGTATCTGAGTGTTATTCGCTTCTTGATTAAAAATCCCTTTCAGTGCTTTGGCTTCTCTTTTTTTCCTTGAGATGAAATTATGACATTAATCTTACTGTCAACAGCGCATGTTAGCCACCCTGAGCTCAATGCATGAATTTAAAAGACACAGTCACTCACGGGTGAAAGGGCCCGAGGCAGAGGGGTTGACACTGTCACTGCTATCCCCACTCTCACTGCAGGAGACCTCATCATCAGACTCCCGCAAGGAAGAGCACGGGGAGGAGGAGGCTTCCACCTCCTCAAATTTCCTCTTCAGTATTCCACTCATGGCCCGCCGCATCTGCACCTGAAACCGAAAGACAGCAGAGGGGCCACGCATTATTTAATATCCAGTTTAGGGCCTTCATAATCCTCAACACACTCAATTAGCAATGAGACCCAGACTCCCCCCCCCCCCCCCCCCCCCCCCCCCCCCCCCCCCCCCCCCCCCCNACACACACACGCACACAAAATCTCTCCTGCCGCTATCCCAGCTCCCAGGCGTTCCCTGGGCGATTGATCACCTTGGCACAAAGGAGCTGAGATGGAAGGAGAAAGCTGCTAATTACATACTACGTCTGCCTTACAGGAAGTTCATTCCACTGTCTTTGATTGAGAGGCTGGAGAAAAAAAGAGACTGGACCAACTTGTCTTGCTGCTACCAGCCACTGTGGAATTATGCACTAAATACATGTATTATGTACAGTATTATGTGGATTTAATTGTTGATGCTATAATATAACTGGCTTAACATGTATTACACTGCATCTCATAGCAAATCATATAACAAATAATGCAACAAATTCAAACATGCATTCACAGTACTGGTGAGATGGCTATTTATGCAGGTGCACACACATGCTGATGTGCACTTCCGTGTAGCTATTGAGTATGGCAACACAAAGTGATATGTACATATATCACGCATCAGGCAGCACTTAAGGAGGAAAAGGTGAAGCTGTTGCTGACAGGATAATGAGTGACATCCTGTACGTCTGTAATGAGCTTCTGTTAAATCAGATGCTTCCTCCAGAAAAAAGGAAAGGCCTCAGGTGGATGCAGCTATAGTCACTGCAGAGACGAGTGAAAAAAGCAGTACGGTGACAGGCCTTAAAATCTGCAACAAAGTCAATAATGGCAAAGTGATAACAGCAAAAATAGACCACTATTATCCCTGCTACAGACCTTTAAGTGATAACTAGCATTAAAGAGCGCCATGATAATATCTATAACAGTGCTGTTAAATCAGGCACAGCAGTGTTATGCACAGTTTTTAAACCTATCTTTGTATGGCTGTGGAGGTGCAGCTAAATGTTTGTGGTTACTGCACTTACAGACGCTGTTGTAACAGAAGTGTTACAGACCACTTCAATGCCAATAGAGAGGGGCCATTAACTCCCTCTGACTGATGATGCAATTAGACAAATAAACAAGAACAAGCTCATCAGTCAACTGCACTAAAACCAATCACCATTACAGTGGACCTACTGCATTGTAACTGACAAACAATACGTTATCATAATAACTTCTTTTCCCCTTTGAATAACATTCAGCCATTATTCCTCGATGTGTAATGTCTGTAATGTTGCAGGACTTATTTAAACACTATTCATGAGACAAGATGTAGTCCTGTAATGTATTTAGCCCTCTGTCCCTTGTTTAAACAGCAGCAGCTGGAACGTCATGTCACAGTTTAAAATAAACCCAACAACACAACAGTGCTGCTGTAGCACAGCGAGGCTTGCTATGACTGGCAGCTTTTCCCTCACTGCTTTCTCTCTTGGAAACTGGAATCAGTAAAGACAGCATGCATCTTCACCCAGTCCCACTTTGTCTGTCTGCCAGAGCAGCTTGTGGGGGAGTTCCATTCACAGGCAGCCACAGTGTTTCATCTGGGCTCTGCTATCGAGTCATTACAGATGCAAATGCTGCCTGAGAGAAAGAGGTGCAACCCAGCGAGGATTAGCACTGCCAGCAAGAGGGGTCATTGTTCCCAGGAGGCTGTGCTTGTTCAGCGCGGTGACATGGCACCGCCAGCATTTGGAGAACCTCCAGAGTCAACAACTCTACCTACAACTAAGGAATGTGAGGCATCCTCCATCTGGGAGAACATGGAGGACAAAGGAGTCTGTCAGGGTAACCTCACTGAGAAGATTTCTTTTCAGAGAGAACTGATATTAATTTGGAAGCAAAATCTGTAAGAGCAGGAGCATCTTTTAGATTCTACAAAACCAACAACTGAGCCGGCTGACAAGAAACCACCAATCTACTTTGTCTTCTGAATGATCATGACAGGACAAAATGACAATAATTAACACGCTGATCCTGAAATATATTAAATTGTGAGATTTAAAAGGTTAGAGCTGTTGATCTCACATCAAAACAAAACAAGAAACACATCTTTTTTCCACAGTCCATTTCATTTGTTGGCCAACAGGAGTGGAAATTTCCACCAGAAATGACCTGTGCAATTTTAGTCCATTTCCTAGCAAGGGTCCTAATTAGATACCATTGTTGGAAACCCATTCGTATGCTTAGCCCTCAGCTGATGCTGCACTAGGCTTTGATACCAAAAGTGGTTTCCATGGAGATTCTAATGTACTCTCACAACTAGTGCTTTCCCATAAGACAGTGTTTCCAGTATACTGTGGATAAAGGTTCCTCTTACTAAAGCACCAGTGTTAGTTCATATCTAAGCAAATGATGCAGCTACTTTCTCACATTAATTCATTATTAGTTCATTTACATTCAGCATGAAATGAGAGTGAAAATCTTGACACAGGATGGGCATGACATCATAAGCCACAGCTCTGTGGGTAATCTAGGGTGAACCCCTTTCATCATAGCTAAATAAAAACCAGAGATTGTTGCTCCTCTCCAACAGCTCTTTCTTTGTCTTCACTGTTGCCTTACCACTAATCATGGCTGGGCAGCATACACTATGATACAAGAGAGAAAATCCCAGAGAAAATAATGCAGCAAAAGCCAGCTTGGAAAGCCCCTCCCTGTGTTTGCCTCTCTGTGCACACACATCAACTGTGGAAACCAACTCCTGTCCTTAATCAACAGCGCTCCCGGCACTGTAGCACACTTGCATTCTGAATGCAATTATTTTTTCCCCCCTCGTCATTCACAAGGTTCCCACAGTCAAAATAGAACCGATGTGACAACACAAGGCTCAAAACACTCATCCCAAGTGATGCCAACAAGCCTATGGCATCTGGTGCAAGTCATGACACATCAGTCCTAGGATGACCAGATTACACTTCTCTGTGCGCGCTGGCCCTCACAGGAACAACTGACCTGTATCCACTGGCAGACTGTGACTCCTTTCACCTCTTCTCACAGCAGCACAGCCACACAACCATAAATGTGGCTATTCAAAAAAGGTGAAACATGATGAGTGAAGAGGTTCCCATTTTGTTTCAGTCCACTGACTTGCACCGACCCCTGAGCTCCACGGGCATGAGAAAAAAGGGTGCAGGAGTGGGAGAGAGACTTGTAATTTTCCAGCTCTGACTGCACTGTCGGTACCATATGCTTTATTGTTGCAAGACGGCAGTCTTTCTCACTTTAACTCGCTGTCTGTCACTGTGTTCCTCTCTTTCTCTCCCTCTCTCTCTCTCTTTGGCCACACAAAGGCTCATTAGCTGCAGCCGGCTGAAAGGCAGGAGCCTGACTGGAGCAGAGTGGAGCAAAGCAGAGGCAGCCTGTGAGATCACATGGGTGGGATGTCTGAGAGAGAGAGAGAGAGAGTCAGGCGTGCCTCTGCTCCTGCTGTCTGCAGATATTTTTACCAACATGAGCTGGGGAAGGGGAGGGGAGCGAGTAGGGGGGTGAGGAGGAGGAGGCAGAGGTATGGGGGGGTCAGCAAGAGAGAGAGACAGAATGTTGGAGAAATGGATAAGGGGTGGGGTGAGGTAGGGGGGTTTGGGAGATGCAGGGCGATGGGAAACGAGCCAGCAGGGGAGGTGGGGGGGTATAACAGAGATGCAGAGAGGAGGGGATTCAGAGGGGAATAGTAAAGGGGAGGGGGAGAATGAGGAAGAGGTGGAGTGAGATAGAGTAGGCAGGTGAAAAGGATACAGAACGAGGCAAAGAAATGGAAAAAGGGAAACATCTGATGCCAAGAACAACACAATGGGACCGGCAAGAGAGCACACAACAACAAATAATAACTTAAATGACTTTTAAAGAAAAAAGAAATCCAGGATAAATTGAGTAGAACAGCAGAACATTACACAATGTTTATATAAAAGTGTTGGCATATTATTGCATCCAGCTGCAATAACCAGCATATGAAATCTGAACATCTAACTGGAAGAGGTTGACAAGAATATATCAACACCTCACCCGTGAAAAAAAAAAGAAGATTTTTCAGCACTGTGGTGGATGTGATCCCAACACTTCCTATGCCAGGAAGTTCTGCAGAAGAGTTAGCGGGGCCTCGGCTTGTGCAGTCAGAGAGCCATTATATCATTCTTGCACTCAGTTGGACCGTATGTCAACATAAAAGATCCTGCACTTCCCCATACAGGATGGCTTGAAGCCTAGAGGCTTTTTTATACAGCCAGTGCAGCATTACAGTCTTTACAAACAAACGATCAGTTCTGAGCACAAACAGCATACAATGCAGAAGGTAATAATAGCATAGTTGCTGTTATGCATTCACTCAAAACCTCCTATTAGCGTGATTTACATCCATTGTGGGTTTATACAATGTCTATGAAAGTCAACATTTATTGACGATGTCATGTGAAAGGATTTCTGTTGTTTCCTTGATGCAACTTTGAGGAAACAATTGTCATTCGACTCTGCGATGTTCTGCATCCTCACCAGTGTCCTCCCTTGAACCTCGCCTAGACAAAACTGCACTCCTCCTCCATCCCTGTTGTCTCTTCCTTACACTGCACATACCGCCTCTCTTGTATACTATATAACATCAACCAGCCACAGTCACAGACACATTAGCTGGCAGCAATATGTTCATTTGGACTTGTACCTTCAGAGTCAAGATCATCATGATCTAAATTACAGCTTTAAATTACAGCTGAAATTGTCCTATACTGTGTAGTATTTATTATGGAAAATGTAAGTAATGCCACTACTATAAAGCAATCTGAACTGTATTTCTACATGACATGCTACACTGATAAATGTATTCGTAGCAGTGGTCAAGGTGGTAGTAGTGGAGACATTATACTGTATTATTTAAGGGTTTGTATCCCCTCTAAGAGCAACGGTAGCGATTGAAATAGCTCCTTTCAAACATGCGGTTTGCACACAGGAAGCCAGTGGAAGTGTACTGACGGTACTTTGACAGACTGCTGAGCACTCAGAGATTACAGTTGGCTATTATGGCTAAATCAGAAGGACCAAAGAACAAACAAGCAGCGTCAAAATACAACTGCAGCAGCAACAAGATACACAAACTATACCTAGAAGGGGGTGGATGCAATAAAAGGGACAGAAAGTTAGTTCTCCAATTACAAAATGCAATATTTCTGATTTATGCTGTCCCACTGCCGTTGTTATTGTGTCCACCCTCTTCAGATAAATGCTACTCTGATCTAACTGATCACACTAATGAGAGGGCTGATGTCCCTATCACCATATTTTTAATCTAAAAATGATGGATCTGTTCATGTAACAGATGATATGTGTGTCTCTCTCGCACTACTAACAGACCCTGTAACAGATTGGAACATGAGTTATAGTGATTTGTGCATCATTGGGGTCTAGCTCTAGGCTACCTGGCAAGATTGTAAAGCAGAGCTACTATCTCTATCTTAATTTGAATAACATCTCTGTTAACAATTCTATAGTAAAAATAGCTAGGCATAAACCAATGCCTGCTTTTCTGTCTTTTAAACTGTTAGCTATTTTTATACTTAAAGGTCCAGAGTGTAGGAATTAGTGACATCTAGTGGTGAAGTTGTGGAACTGAAATTTCATTTGTTTGCCAATTGTGAAGGAGAACTAGGGTGGCTGACATGAAAATGGCCCTATCTTGAGCCAGTGTTTGATTTGTCCATTCTGGGCTACTGTAGAAACAACATGGCAGACTCCATGGAAGAGGACCCGCTCCATATGTAGATACAAATGGCTCATTCTAAGGTAATGTAAGCACAATGATTCTCAGTTTGAGGTGATTATGTTACATTTCTGCCAATGTATCCTCCTAAATCCTGCACACTGGGCCTTTAATGTGAATTTTAATGACACATCTATTAATACATCCTGATTTTATCTTTTTTTTGCGTGCTTCTACATTAAGTGTCTATTAGGTGTCAAATCTGGATGTCTTATTAGCTGTTAAGTTAAAACAGGAGCAAGAACAACTTGACAAAACTCTGCCCTACTGTCCTTTTCTCTGCAAATGCCACAGTTCTTCTGACTGTTGTTAATTAATCTGATTTCAGTCATTACAGTACAAGTTAAAATTTCACTGTGAAAATAACTATGAGAAGATTGAACGATGATAAAGCATACCAAATATATTCCCTTTTTTCTGTCTGGTTGTTCTTATCATTTTGGTGAAATGTGTTCTTGGATGACCTCATCTGCATTTCTTTAATGATTCATCCATAAGCATCACACATATATGCTGCCCTATTACATGAAAATGCAAAACATAAGCTGGTGAGATGGCATTTGTTACACCATCGCACCAGTGATGGTGACCTATATTTGCTCTGACTTTCAAGAGGCTTTCTTATTTCAGTGGAGGGACTTGAAGACAGCAGGCAAAAACCAACAAAGAACAGGTTTAGAATGAATCATTTGTGTACCCTTACAGTGATTGAGGTCATGAGCAAGTTCTCCCAGCACAGTCAGAGATGAATGGTAAATTCCAAAATATATTTTTAATGATATCTCTGAACAGAGTCCTGTTGTTAAGCAAAGAGAGGAGTGCTTGTTATTTCTCACAGCAAATGCTGTATACATTATTCTGAAAAGAACATGAAGTATAGGTTAATTTACCTTCTTTGTTTTCTGTTTTACAGAACATAAACAACGTTGAAGTGGGAGAAGCAGGGAGCTTGTCTTTTGTCTGTGCTCTGACACATGAACTGCCTCGTCAAAAGTGTTCCTGCAAAAGCTATTTCCAGGGTCCTTTGCTCAAGATCAGTGACACAGAACCTTTGGAGGTTGTGCATGTGCTGAGTTAAAATGCAAATTGTAAAAGCAATCATTATATAAACCCTTCAGTGATCCTGCCAAAACATTTGACTCTGAACTGTCTGGCTTCATGACAACATATCAGCAACTGTTTAGCAGGAGTGGCCACAAATCAGAACCTTTAATGGAGGAAACCGGGGTGAACCAAGGATGAATCACCGCACCCACTCTGCTTATCACCTTCATCACAGCCATTATCCATCTCAACACTTAACACAGCTATCTCACACAACAGATGGCAGGTTCTTCAGCCTATACAGATTCAAGTCCAAGGTCAAGGGTCTCCATCGGGTCGCCATCAGCTGCATACTGCAGCTCCAATATGAGGCTGCTACAGATCATAATGCCATCTGCCATCATTCAGAGCATGATGTGCAGTGCACCCATGGTGCATTTCCAGAGGCATAAAAGATACTTGGACTGGCCATAAACAGTAAGTACACAGAAGTTCATCTGGACTTTGCCACATTCCCACATGTACCATAGATTATTCTGCCTGCTTTTGCAGTTTGTCTTTCCTCAGACACAGAAATTCACGATCACGTCAGTTACACAAGCAGGCTTTTGCCAAACTCTGTTGCCTACTCTGCTGTGTGGTGCAGGAGCCTGGAACACTAACAGTGCAGTACAGTATCTCAGAACTCCGAAAAATTCATACTAGAGCTATGTCCTGAAAATCATGGACATCGACTGGGAAACAGATCGACAAATGTTAGTATGTAAGAGAAAACAACTATTTTTCAGATTTCTATGACAATCATAAAATACCAGCTCTGACAGATTGTCAATGTAGTTACAATGTCTGACTTGTGTTAAAGCAGACACTCCACTCTCATCTACATACTGGCAAGCTGGCACCTAGATATTAAAGAGAGAGGTACAAGGACAACGTCAGGACCAACCACAAAATGTGAATGGGCACTGCAGAGGCAGACCTTTGCTGAATAGGAAAGTTCATGGAGCAGCCACACTCCATGAAATATAGTTCCAACAGGTCACACGAGCCAAAGGAGAGGCTTACAACAAAGACAGCAGATCCATGTTCGATTACTGTCGCTGTACGCTCACTGCAGTAAAATCTGTTGTGCAAGAAACAGTAAGGACCGTTGTAGTAAGGTCATGTGAAACTACAGTATTTCATGTGAGCAAGCTACATTTGGTAGAACATATTTCTACTACCTTGCGGCATGTCATGCAGCAAGTCACAGCTAACAGAAATCCTCCCTGTTTTCCGCAAATATCAGTCTAAAGGAAATAAAGAGAAGTTGATCATTTTATCGCAGGGCTACCCAGAGCTTTTCTGTCCCACAGACAATATTTTAGGCCTAATACACACTTAAAAACCAATGCCCAGAAAATGATCAGCTCTGAAATCAGGGTTTCTGGTAAGTTGGCTATGATACGGTGCTGATTATGGTCGCTTAGCAACGTCAGGCACAAACTGCCTCTACGTCCTTGAAAGTTAGCACAGAGTAGGCACAAAA